CCCTGTGGGACTTAGTAGCAGGAGACCATAAACAAATATATATCAGGAAGTAATAACTTCTATGAAGAAGTATGAAGCAGTAAGGAAGAGAGGATATTGTGTGTGTGATCCTATAGGGGAAGGGAAATGTTTTGGTGATCCAGGAAGGCTTCTGGAAGGAAGAGACACTTTATCTGAATGCTGAAAATAAGGCAACCAAGCAGGTATGGGGAAGGTAGAGAAGAACATACTGGCAGAGGTAACACCCAAGTGCAAAGGACCTAAAACTATAAATGTCTCGACATATTCGAGGAAGAACAAGGAGGCTAGTGTGGCTGGAGAAGAGCAAGAGAGGTAGAACATGAGGTCTGAGGTGAAGGGAGAGAGTTCATATAAGGCTTTGCAGGCCATTGTAAGGATTTTGGCTTTTAATTTTGAGTTAGGGAGCGGTTCTATGCAGAGGAGTTTTAAACAGAAAAGTTACACGGCAATCTTTTTAACTGGTTGCTATGTTGATAATAGATTTAAGGGCCACGAGTCAAGGAGGCTGTTGAAATAATCCAGACAAGGAAAAGATGGCTTGCACAAAAGTGGTAGCAAAAAGATAATGAGAAGTGGTGTCAGATCGTGGACATATTTTGAAGGTAGAGCCAAAAGAATTGCTCATTGGATTTAAGGAGAGTATGAGAAAAACGAGCCAAATATGGCAGGCACTGGGGGTTGTGAGCTGAGCAACTACAACTGTGTTTCTCAGCCTTTTGCATTATCGTTGCCCCTAAAGATCCTTTTTACATTTTTTTCCCTAATCTCTCAGTCCCCATTGAATTTTAATGCCCAGATGCACTGTATATCTGTTTATGTGCTGCATGTTTTATTCAATACAGAGTTAGGAAGTACTAAAATCTTTGAGGTGCCTGGCTGCCTCAGTTGGAAGAGTGTGCAACTCTTGAACTAAGGGTCATGAGTTTGAGCCCCACATTGGGTGTAGAGATTACTTAAATGAATAAAAACTTACAAAAAAAATGAATGTGTTGTGTATGTTTGGATTTTACGGATTTACAAACCACTGTAGTATCTAAGAATTCCTCATTGCCCAAGAACTACATTCCTCCCTTTTGTGGGGTGACATTGCCCCCATTGAAAATACATGAAATATGGGGCAGCTGGTTGGCTCAGTTGGTTCAGCATCCAGCTCTGGGTTTCAGCTCAGGTCATGATCTCACAGTTAGTGAGATTGAGCAAAGCCTGCTTAGGATTCTCTCTATCCCTCTCTCTCTGCCCCTCTTCCACCACCCTCCTCCCCAATAAATAAATATTAAAAAAAAAAAAAAAAAAAAGAACCTTGAAAATGCATGAACTAGAAGAATGGAGTTGCCACTTTCTCAGATGGACCAGAAGAAGAAAGCGGGAGAAGCAGTCCTGTGAGAAATGAGTAGGAATCAGGATTTCAGTTATGGAAGCTTGAGTTTGAGATATCAGATACATAAATGGCACTAGATATATGAGTCTGAAGTTCACAAGGAAGATCTGGGTAGGAAACATAAATTTAAGAATTTTCAGTATTGGAGCTTCTGGGTTGGTGAGCTCATAATTTGGAGACAGGCACCCAGAGAGGGCCTAGAAGCTCCATGCTCTTCCCCATACCTGGCCCTGTGCATCTCTTCATCTGGCTGTTCCTGAGTTGTATTCTTCTATGATAAAGTAGTGACCTAGCATGTCATGCTACCCAGGGAACTTTCCAAACAAGTACTAAACATCCATCTGATTTCAGAAAAGGAGTAGATGAGACTTGGGTGACCAACAGAGTATAGGCTGGCTTCATTACATGATTCATGAGCCAGAATATTTTCTTCTCTTTAGACGACCTCTTCCAAAAGATTAATAAAAATTATGAAGTATATCTAGGGACCATCCAATAAATCTTTTTCAAATGTAATATATCTGTGTACATAAGGTAGTGTTCAGTGAATACTTGAAAAATGTACAAATTGTTCTTTCATATATGTTCATGAGCTGTATTCTTCACAGCAACAGAGCTCAGTTAAATCCAACTGCAAGTAGGTTACTGTAAGGTGTTTAAGATACACTTTTTTCTAGTCAGTTTTTCTCTTAATATTTGACTTTGCCTTTTCCTTTTGTTTAATAAAGCCTGCATGTTGCCCTAAAAAAAATAGGCAGTATTTAGGGCTGACTGGCAAGAAGAGCATGTAACTCTTAATCTCAAGGTTGTGAGTGTGAGCCCCATGTTGAGGGTAGCAATTACTAAAATAAGTAAACAAGCAAGCAAACAAAACTTTAAAGAAATGTCAGTATTAAAAAGAAAAAAGTAAAGAATTGTGAGTATTAAAGCCATGAGATGGGTAAGGTTGCCTAGGAAATGAATAAGTATAGATAAGAAAAGAAGTCCAAGGACTAAGATATAAGGAACAACTTGCAAAGGATATTGAAAAGGAATGACTAGTGAAAGGAGAACTCAGAGAATAATGTTCTGAAAGAAGCAATGAAAGTTTGTCAAGAAGGAAGGACTAATCAATTGTGTCAGATGTCGCTGTGTAGGTTGCCTGAAGACTGAGATAACCATGGGATTTGGCAACAGAGTGATTTTTTTTTTTTTAGTTTTTTTTTTTTTTTTTAATGTTTATTTTTGAGAGAGAGAGAAAATGTGTGAGCAGGGGAGGGGTGGAGAGAGGGAGACAGAGACTACAAAGCAGGCTGTCAGCACAAAGCCTGACATGGGTTCCAATCCATAAACTGTGAGATCATGACCTGAGCCAAAGTCAGATGCTCAACCGACTGAGACACCCAGGTGCCCTGGCATCATAGTCATCTTGACAAGGGCTGTTTCCAGGAAGTGAAGTGATAGAAGGTTCTAGAGAGAATGGGAGAAGTGGAAATATCCTGTATAGACAGCTCTTTCAAGAAATAAAATCGGGGGTAAGGGGGAGTGCCTGGCTGGTTCAGTTAGTGGAGCATGTGACTCTTGATCTCAAGTTGTAAGTTCAAATCCCACGTTAGGTACGGAGCCTACTTTAAAAAAATAAAATATTTAAAAAATATAAAAAATATGAAAGCAGAGAAATGGAGCTGAAGCTGCAGGGAAATGTGAAATCAAGGGGTTCTTTTTCTAAGATGGGAAATAATTGTAGCCGATGCAAATGAAAAATTGAGGATTAAATATTGAAACAGGATAGAGATGGGACAATTACTGGACTGGTTTCCTTGAGTAGATAGTTCCACAGACAGTTCCTTTCTTGTAATGGGAACGTAAGTAATCTAGTAGAGATTGTAGGTAGATTTGTTGGTGAGAATGTACAGAAATTCTCTTCAGTTGCTTCTTTTCTCAGTGACATAGGTGTGTACTATAGTAAGTCCTGAGGAAACACCCTCTTAAAAAGCTAATAATCTGTTAACTGCCAATTCTGGTGCATTATTTATAGGCTTCACCTTTCACTTTTCTCTTAGCAAGTTTAATAGTTGAAAGACCTCTAGGGGCGCCTCGGTGGCTCAGTTGGTTGGGTGTTCGACTTCGGCTCAGGTCATGATCTCGCGGTTTGGGAGTTTGAGGCCGGCATTGAGCTTTGTAATGACAGCTTGGAACCTGGAACCTGCTTCAGATTCTGTCTCTCTCTGCCCCTCCCCTGTTTGTGCTCTGTGTCTCTCTCTCAAAAATAAACAAACATAAAAAAAAAAAAAACCCAAAAAATTTAAAAGAGCAAGACCTCTAGAACCAGACTGCTGAAATTCAGGCTATGCCACTTACCAGCAGGAATTTTAGATAAATTTAACCTCTGTGATGCTATAATTATTAAATATGTTAACACATGTAGAATGCTTAGAGTAGTGTCTGGGTTAGTAAAAGTTTGATGAGGGGCGCCTGGGTGGCACAGTCGGTTAAGCGCCCGACTTCAGCCAGGTCACGATCTCGCGGTCCGTGAGTTCAAGCCCCGCGTCGGGCTCTGGGCTGA